AAGAAGAAAGAGCTTGTGTAAATGAATGGCAGAACAGGGTTTAGGAGAGATAACAAAAAGACAAATATATTAAGAGCTACAAAGGACAGGAAATTGTGGAGATTCATGATCAGCAACGTCGTTAAGAGACATGGCACATAGAAGAAGCATAATGGCAAGTTAGTTTGAAAGACGAACAACCGACGTTTGAAGCCGTATTATTTAGCATGCGCGTGTAAAATAGTCCTCTCTTGTGTGACCAATTTACTAATTGAAAGATACGAATAAATACTAGTCTTTTTTTTTAAAGACATGTGCAACCGTGCGTACAAAATAAAAGCGTAAGCTACTTGGATTCCGAAATTATTTACACAAGTATAAACTCGGACATTAAAATATTTCCGTTGGCGCGCTCAGGCTGCCATAGTTACTTGTATAGTTCGGAGATTGTGGACAATTTTATTTCAGCTTGATTTGCCATCCTTATGGAGCATTAACAATTCGGCATAATATAATCATTTGCCATTTTGTGGTAAAAGAGACAGGCACTTATTCTATACTACAAGACGAACAGACAGAGCGGCCATGATTATGGGCCATAATGATACTGACGATGATACACATTGCTGATGTGATTTTATAACCTGGTTATAATTATTGACATTTAGTTGACATTGTAAAAGAATTGGTAAAATTATCCGTTTCTATACAGGAAACTTTCAGCATGCACTACCTGAATAGTTAGTGTGATTATCGGCTGAAATTTACAAAATATCTTCTTATTAAAACAAGTTCAATATCTGTTATAGCCCTTTTTAGTAACGATCATTGACCCCCTTCAAAACCCTTTGTTAATAGTTTGATTATATTATTAATTTCTCTTCCAATTATATGTGCTATCTATTTTTGTTGTTGTGTAAACATACAATACGCCACACATCCCAGCTTTCCATCGACAGGCCAATGATCATCCCAGGTTGCATTTCGATTCTCAATCTCGTTGGTGTTCCCCAAAAGCTGGGAAAGGGCACAATGCATGCTCACAACGTAACATAATGAAAGAAAAACACCGCGTCGAGAAATAAGAACGCGAACCCTGTTTCTCATGTTATATGTAGGTGTTTCATCTAGGGCTTCACCTGCTCGTCCGGGTGTGTAGGTAGGTGATCCTTGGGACAACCCCTGCTATATCAGCTGTTTCCCCTACGAACTACTCGCTAATCTGCTCATCCAGACATGGTGGTTGGCAATACGAAATGGAGGTTTTGGAACCGGGAGACTGACACTTCCGTCTCCCGCCAAGGGCGGGCCAGACTCTCTCCGATCCAACGCATAACTGTTAATATAGACCAGCACCCGGATATAGCCTGTTTCCGGTTTTGTTGCAATTTACTTCCCATTCGCTCTCGGTTAAAGTTGATGACGCTTTGAAAACCGAATTTTAAAAGGAACCATCAGTTGGTCTATCAAACAGAAACAGTGATTCAGATTTGCTTCTTGGTATAGCTTTTTATGTCTGTGATTTTGTAGCTCCAGTCCATAGGGTCAAGATGAAGGATTTACTTGTTTGAAACTATTTTTAATCATCGCTACGTTATTCCAAGTTTTCTTTTCGCTGTTTTTTTTTTCATCCGACATTAGGCCATTTAAAAATAAGAGTGGAAAGCCAGTATTAACTGATTGTCTATTGCTATTCATTTTTAACGAGTTTATCTTCCATTTACATATTTTTTATTATATATTATTGCAACGCTGTAAAACAACCTCGGACTTCATACTAACCCCATGCACTTGTCATTTTATATATTCTACAACCGTTATTCTACAACGCTTTTTATGTTCTGAAACCATTAGGCATATAGGATTAATCGGAAATAAAGAAATATAAGATTTAAACATGCATTCCATATCCTGGGGAGCACGTCTAACATGGACGACGTCTTACCTATTAGATTGTGTAGCTCAAATAGCAGGCGATGTTAAATATAGAACTATCACTATATAATTTCTCAAAAAACTCAGACTAAAATGAGTTAGTAAACAAACAACATGGCTCGAAGTATGTTGCATGAATATAAAATTATACAGAATGTCAGAAAGCCTATTCAAGATGTTGATGAATATCCATGAAGAAAACTAAAAGAACTTTTAGAAAAGCTAATCAAGAAGAAACGACGAACTATTAAGTGTATGAAGATGTAGAATGCATGGTTTCTATGTAACGAGCTAACAACTTGAAATCATTTTTTTTATAAGAAGAATGGAGTCCCATTGAAAGAGAATTGTCTTTTCTTGGCCAGCTGGCAACAAACGTCTCCCCCAATTGGGCACTGTGGCCTCGACCTTCGCTCTCCTACAGGCGTCACTCCACTCATACGCTTTCTTAAGATTGTATACAACCAATCACTTACCTACCAAGTTCTCCAAAACGTGATGTGGATAGCGAATGCGCGACAGCCATTCATTACAATCTGACCTCGACACTCCAAAGCGCTCCAATAATCCAGCACGAATGAGACATCAAGTACATAACTGTACCTTATAGGCTTATGTCTTCCCTTGACCAACGCCAATATACGCACCGTATCTGATCGATGTTGCCGGGAAATGTGTTGAATGTTCTGCACTTATTGACTATTGGCACTCCCCTGAACGACGACAGTGCCTTTATTACTGTCATGACGTCCCAGCCCTGGCTCCCAGTAATGCCGCCTTTAATGACATAATTACAAGAGGTTTAAATGAAGCTGGCAATGCCTCCAGGAGACTGTAGGTCTCGACAGGGGAGACGTTTTTTTTTCTTTTCTTTTGCAAACCCACTTATCTAGGACGCCACCCACAGTGAAATGGCAACTTGACCGCACCGGCCACACCGCCTGGGTCCATTGCCCGACAGACCGAGGAGCAAAAAAGAGCAAAATATCATTGAATGGCCAACGGATATACATTTGTGCCGGTTGCTGTTGAGACGTTCAGCATTATTGGTTCCCAAGCTGCTAAACCTGTTCGACAAATATCAGCTTGTCTTCGTGGCGAATCACGAGAAATCAGCTGGCTATTTCATAAAATTACAATCGATGTCGCCCGTAGCAACACATTTGATGGGGGATACACTATACCAACATTAAAATTGCTGCCTATAAATATATATATATATTTTTCAATGTTTCATTTTCCGAAAAATCAAATGTACACATTTAATTAACATCTTTTTCTAGTTCATACATTTTATAAAAGGATTACTAAACCATGATAAAGAAATAAATAAATGAATAAAATTGCTATTTTATGGAATCTTTTCAGTTTAGTTTCGCATTTCTCAGCAGAAGATGACACGAAGTTGAATGACGTTGGAAGAAGACATTTAAAAAAGAAGAAAATTAGGTTATAATTTATGTGAACGATTCCATGTAAAACGAAAAATGATCGGCATCACCTTACGTGACACGAAGAGAAACACCTGGATTCTGTTATATTCCGTGCTAATAGGAATACATACTTGAAAAACACGGTAGATAAAATAAGTAAAGGTTTATTGTAAAAACCAGTACAATAAGAAATAAGGTAAGAGTTATGCGCACGATCGTCGCAAGTCGATCCAGTAATGAGTGCTACTATTGGAAGGCCGGTAGTATTCGTATTAGCCTGAGTCGTACTCAGCAGATCCCAGCTAGATATTTACCAGCCTCCCCACGTGGTAGAATGTGGCACAAGGCCGAGTTTAATGTGGGGTAACCCCAGCCCGTAGGCTCGGCCAAAAATTCCTCGTAGACCCCGTGTAAAACGGGGTCAGGTATCTGTTTCCCGAGACGAGACTCTGCTCTTCGGCATAGCCTCGTCTGGGGATCCAGAAAAGTTAGACCAGCAGAGCTGGAAAAGATTCTAGCTAGATGGTATCTAGAAACTGTCCTACGCAGTCACATGTGGCACAAGGCCGAATTTAATGTGAGGTTCCCGAGATAGTAGGCTCGGCCAAAAAAATGCCCATAGACCTCGCAGAAACGGGATCGGGTCTGTCTACCTCCCTAGACGAGGCTATGCCGAAGGACAGAGTCTCGTCCGGGTTCCTCTCTGCCCGAAGGCAGAGAGTTCGACCAGCACAGCTGGAAAAGATTCCAGCTAGTATATTTACAAACCTCCCCAGGCGATCAGATGTGGCACAAGGCCGGGTTTAATGTGGGGCATCGTAGACGCCGCATAAACGGGATCGGGTCTGTCTACCTACCCGAACGAGACTCTACCCTTCAGCATATACTCATCCGGGTTCCTCTCTGCCTCCAGGCAGACAGTTGGACAGTACAGCTGAGAAGATTTCAGCTAGAGTATTTAGCAAATGCCCCATGCAGTCAGATGTAGCACAAGGCCGAATTTAATGTGGGGTTCCCGAGCACATAGGCTCGGCCAAAAATCCTCGTAGACACGTATAAACGGGATCGGTTCTGTCTATTTCCCCGAACGAGACTCTACCCTTCGGCATAGCCTCGTCCAGGTTCCTGCAGAAAGTTCGACAGTTCAGCTAAAAAGATTTTTCAGCTAGACTCTGTAGTCCGTTGACTTACCGCTACTTATAGGCAGTTACTACCTATAGTGTAATTACATGGGGGTGACAGGTTATTCCATTACATCAGATTCGACAGCAGGCTGAAAAGAAGAGCAAACAATATAAGCTGAGCACGTCTGTCGACTCAGAGACAACAGGTGAACTATTAGAGAGACAGAGTAGACCCCAATGCAGTAGAAAAGAATTAGATGGTGACCTAAGGCAAGATGGCACGACGATGTGTCCCGAAACCCGGTCTCCACATGAGCCAGTATGGCCAGAGATAAGAAGTGGTGGAGGTCAACAGAAGTGAGAAGGCCATGACTTTGGATTTTTAGGTTTTTTGTCTTAATTTATTTTAAATATTTTTTTAAAATAAATTAACATTTAACAATATTCGCAAGCTTTTTTTATAATGAAAGAAAAATTCAGTATTTTTTGAAGTACATTAGTATAAATTGATTCTCTAGATACGTAAGGCTTACGACCATATCACGTTGTAATAGCGGTTCTCGTACGGTCACTGAAGCTAAGCAACATCGAGCCTCGTCAGTACCTAGATGAATGATCACTTGGGAATACCAGGTGCTGTAAACTTGGATGTGCGGGTGGTGTAATGGATAACGTCACAGAATTAGAAATCAGACAACCGAGTTCTAATTCTAGTCAGGGTGGTTATATTCACTTATTATTTCACTGAAATACCCTTTGGAAAGGTATGAAACCATCACCTCTTCTCCTCCTCCCAGCTATGGGTTATTTAGTAGGAATTGTATCAGCAAATCACTATTATATTTAAAATTTCTTACAATTTAAAAATATGGCTTTGGATAACCAGCAAAAGGTTGATAATTCGTAAAAAACTCTTGATACGAAAGTTGATATTAAGCATTTCAAAATTTGTATAAATATGTAAAATGTTTGTGGAATAGCAAAAATAACAAAAGGATGAAATCACGTTATAATTATTTCAGTAAAACACTAATAATTAAAGGTATTTTCTCTATTTCTACTCAAACGATATATGGCCAAAAATAGTTCAGAGCCTTCGGCACTATCATTTTAGGAATACCTCAGCTAACAACGAAGAGGTACTGCTAGGATCATGGCCTTCCACCTAGAGCTGAATTGAGAGGCACCAATTAACTCTCGGAGACTGTGGTTCTATGTGCAAGACCCACCTTGGACTGCCACTTACTTTTTGCTTTGAACCAAATTCCATTCCATCGAACCTACAGGTAAATGCCTTCAAGAATCTTTTGAAACAATTTCTCTTTTTATAATCTCGTAGATCGCACCGGGTTCATTGTTACAAAATATTCTTTCTTTGCAACTATTTTTATGTCAGGTCATTCTACGAGTGCTACTGGTAAACTGTTACTCAGTACGACTTGCCGTATGGCCGGGTCATCGCCGACTAAACTGGTCCCTCCACTAGGACTGTTTGATGAGGTGTTGCGAGACACACAATTGTTTTAAAAGCATGATCTGTGAAAAGACGAATGAACCTTCTTGTAGGGTCAACGGTTATCCAGTTCAGTGGAGGAGAATGATCTCCATAGCTATGTATGTCGCCAGGCGGAGGGGTTTCTAAATAGAAATCCACGGCCAGAGTGGACGGTTTCTCTAATGTAATCAACGCCCATGTGTTCGTGACCAACACGAGCCTTCAGATGGAAAGCACCGGCCATGGTTTGCCCGAGAGATGGGCTCCACTAGGTTTATTTACTCAAAAAAAAAAAAAACGTTACGCATGAATGAACATCTATTTGGCTTTCAAACCAAATATGAACATATGCCAGCTGCGCGGTGACCCTACGACCATACTCGATCATGGGACGGGAGAATGTGATACAACATGGAGTATAAAGTTTGTTGGGAGAAGGAGAAGTGTTGTCTGAAGGGTAAACTCCTTTGGGGCTGGGATATATAATAAGTTTTCTCACCTGTGACAGGTTAAGGTTTTTTTTTTTTTTGGCGCGTCCACGTTGCTATCAAATGTAACATGAGGTCGAGGTTTAAAGTGGATTTAATGGCATGCAGTAGAAAAATTCCTCAAGTTCTCTAGGCACTTCCCTTTTTGAGGACATTTTAGGCGGCGGGCAATAAACACAACCTGACCTCAAATGGAACTCTTACGATCTATCGTCAAAGATGCAGGAAAAATGGTCGGTTCCCTCTCCTGCTCTAGTAAGTACGTGATCCCTCATACTAACCCCCGATCCTTTACAAGAACCAGATCATGCCGAAAATGGAGTACTGCTGTTATATTTGGACGGGAGCTTCCCAGTCCTCACTTTCCAGTCTCGATAGTGTTCAAAAGCGTCTCCGAGTCCTTTTAGGTGATGAATTATTTCCCCCCTTCAACGTCTCTCTCACAAGTGGGATGTGGCGATCCTCTCGCTGCTCTATCGCTACGACCACAGAAAGTGCTTGGATGGACTACATTTCTTCGTTCCACCAGGTCTAATCTTCACGGCTAGGACCCGCCATGACACTTACATAGTAGCAAACCACCCACATTCCCTCCGTATTCTCTCCGTTGTCTCCTCTTTTTATCTTTTAAACTACCTCTTAACGTAACCCCCATTATCACGACTGCTCCCTTGTACAGAGTGAATTTTACTGAAAAAAAAAAAAAAAACATAAAAAAAAACAAGTTATTCCATACGTAATATTCATCGTAATTTGTCAGTCTACTTTTTCTCCGTGGGGTCGTATAGATACCTGGGTTAGTTTCCGGGCGTGTGGTTATGCCAAAGCCTTTTATAAGATAGCCACCTAGGAGATGGAAACCTCTGCTGTACAACCTAGATGCCTCATACCTGCAATTCTTTTGAATTCGTAGCATTGCTGGTGTGAGTCACTGCTGTGTTGTGCAAAAGCCGTGCACGTCTATGATCTCAGCAAGCGTATTGCTGACATCTATTATTGCTCTGGTTTCTGAAATCTAATACCAACAGCGAAGAGGCTACGTGTACAAGTCTGATGGGCTGGGAGTACATAGCTGTTGACTTACACACTAGCAGATTTTGGTAGATATGAATTCGTTTGCTTATCTATTGAGATAGTACTCGGTTACTATAAAGGTTACTTAACAACCTTGTTTAAGGATACCAGAGCACAGCAGATGGTTTAGAAAAGGTGGTTTATAAATTTCCTGTGTCAGTGACTGTCTGACCATATATACATCCATAAATAATAATATCTGTCGACTCGTTAAACGAATACGACCATCATCAGTTTGATCTATGGCTTTAGTTCTCGTGAGAAAGACAATTGCGAAAGCAGCTTCTCTTATTGCAGGCGCGGCGAATTAAGTTATTCTCTATAGGGTCTGTAAAGGTTAATTTTAGACTAAGTTAAGATTGTAGTGATCGGGGAAATATCCTATTTGGGTGTCGGTTTTTACAGAGCATTGGTTCTTGGGAAGAAGCTGTATGAGTAAAACTTACTTCTCATCGATGGAAGTCTTTTTAAAATTCTCTTCGGGATGCTCGTGGATTTTCATGTGGCAGGCAAAATTGGGGCGGCTTCTGCAGGAAATGAATTCATATCTACCAAAATCTGCTAGTGTGTAAGTCAAGAGCTACTTACTCCCAGCCCATCAGACTTGTACACGTAGCCTCTTCGCTGTTGGTATTAGATTTCAGAAACCAGAGCAATAATAGATGTCAGCAATACGCTTTCTGACACATCCCGCATGTTAAGTTATTCCCAGTGTAGTATTGAACCATAATTCAGTAGACGTCTAATCCACTCTTTCTTCGCGATTTTGTCAGTTTTAGTCGCCTTTTTGTGTCTTGTAAATCCTGTATCAATAAACGATTGCAAAGCATTAAACATAGCCCCACTAAAGAGATTTACAGGATCAACTGAATGCCTTTTTTATGATTACTTTCCAACGCACCACAATTTCATAGAAAATTTCCCAACTATAACTACACGTCTGATGCAGATCGCCAATTTACTGAGTTTGTGAAATTCATTTTAGATTTCAATTTCCTTATCAATCATTCACTAGCATGTCCAGATTATATTCAGTGAGTATATTCAGAGCAGCCGATTGAATAGAGGCTGCTATTCTATTCTACATTTTGCCATAATCATCGGAAGAGATATTGAAACAGGAAGAAAACTCAGAAGTGTTTATTTGAAGATTGACTATCTAAAAATATAAAACAATAATATTTAAATATAATTTATTTTTAACGTCCTACTGTATACCGCGTGTAACAGCAAAATTGTCCAAATCGTGTAACAGCACGAGATAATTGCCCAGCCCACAAACTATTTAATATCTAATAAAAAAGCTATCTAAAAAAAACAACAAAAAGCAAAACACACACACACACACACACACACACACACACACACTAAACTAAACTAAACTAATTGAGTTTCTTTTTTCCAGGTTTTCAGATAAGACGTTTAGCCATCTTGACACCATTTGTCATAAGAATCACTGAAAAGCCCTTTGAGTTCTTCAGCTAGAAAGAGAACCAGTTAAAATAGTTTTGTGTCAGACCCACTGTCTTCCCAAATGAGCAATTGTGAGAGAAAAAAGATCATTCAGGCCTTCAGTAATGGTACCAACATTCATACTCTGCTTCCATCTTCAAAATCTATTCAAGAACCATCAAAAGAACGGTGAATAAATTTAAAAAAAAAAAAGAGGGAAAAGTAAAGAGGAAAACTAAATCCAGAGGTCACAGGAAGAGGGATCATCATTTTAATTTAGAGCTAAAGAGATCAATTAGAAAAGATTCAATTAAATCTATATGACCTTTGACACGCGAGAGAGGCGTTTCAGCTGTGACAGTCCAAAAAGCAGTGAAAAAAGACTTGAAAAAGAAATCGTACGTGAAACGTGTAACAGCATAATTTTCCGTCCAACAAAATGTTTAATATCTTAAAAAACACTAAACTAATCGAGTTTCTTTTTTTCAGGTTTTTAGATAAGACGGTTAGCCATCTTGACACCATCTTTCGTAAGAATCACTGAAAAATCCTTTTAGTTATTAAGCTAGAAAGAGAGCAGGTTAAAATCGTTTTGTGTCAGCCCCACTATATGAACAATGGCGAGAGGAAAAAGACCGTTCAGGTCTTCAATAATGGTACCAACATTCAAACTCTGGCTTTCTTCTTCAAATCTATTCAAGAATCACCAAGAGAACGGTGAATAATTTTAAAAAAAGAGGGAACAGTAAAGAGGAAAACTAAATCAAGAGGTCACAACAAGAAGAGGGATCATCATTTCAACTTTGATCTAAATAGATTCTCATTGTTCACATTAGAGTCCAATAGTGTTATAAAAACATCGGAGAATTTCAGTAAGATACAACGGTTCAATGTTTAATCTAAAAATTCGACAATTTTGCTGTTACACGATTTGGACAATTTTCCTGTTACACCCGGTATGTCTGAATAAACATAGAATTTTATCTGATTAATGGATTTTTTAAAAATCTGACTTATTACTTCTAATGTTACTTTTAGTGGGTTAAATGTGTTTGAGGAGATATTAGTTTTTGAAATCATTGAAAAGCACATTTAAATAACTGCTTCGCTATAATGGACATCCCGCAACTTAA